ATCGTAACTACTCCTATCCCTTCGCCGCGTGACCCATATGTGTGGGGCGAGGACGTGCGTGCGCTCCCACTATGCTTCCGTGGACGTGTCCTGACGCTGTTCGTCCCAAGCAGAGCTCAGGACTGAGCAAATGCTCGACGGCAGAGGCGCTCCAGGTACGTGTGCTCCTCTTATAGACTGCGCCAGTTGCACGCTTATACGCTACCACGCCAGCCCGACGTGTGGTATTTGGATTTGACACCTGCGCCCGCATCGTACGCACCACCTGCCATACACCTCCATGTGCTTCGCTGACACGCCACACAGGGCCTGTCATTCGCGTGGCAGGAAGCCCAAGTCATGCTTAACTACCTGACAGCGCTGCACGATCCGTGCTCGCGTGAGGCGTTGGCGTAACACCTGTGTGGGTGCCGGTGCAGCGAGAATCGGGAGCTCGGTGTCTTCTGTAGACAAAACAGTTCTGACTTCGCGCTGGTAATTCTAATCGACTGGGAGTACTATCTCTGAGTCCCTTTTGGTTCTACTTTTGACAATTTCGAATGTTGCTTTTTATATATCCACGTTTGATGCCATCAAAGCCACGTGCTTCAGTGCAACATACCTCTGGCTATCTTCCCGTGTGTTCACTGAGATTCAATGTGGACCATCCCAGCGTACCGAGAACCCATATACCCTTGAGCTCCTGCTAGTACGGCCAGGCCCGAACGGCGTGGGCGCAATACGTCGCCCAGCGTAATCGAGAATGCTACTAGACCGATTCTGTGAGCGATATCTCAGAGCGCTAGACGTCCTACAGCTGATTATGTTGACAGTACCGACGAGATGCGCCCGAACTCATGGTGTGGATTTTGTGTGAAAATATCCCAGTGGATTCAGAGTATGCCAGAGGCTGCCTTTTGGGATCGCCACTGTGTAGCGTTGTATTATCGCTTCGAAATGCATGTATTCATGTGCCACCGTTCCTGACGGCATATCACTATTGGGGTCATTAAATACAATAAGCTTCTAGTATCTTGTCCGCACGAGCTACAAACGTTAGTATCCGCCTAGAATCAGGGCATACTGCGGAATATGGTACAGTCTTCAATGCCGGATCACGCCTCGGCGCTGGCCTCATGACGTCCCTCCTCTCTCACTTCTGCCACATCACTCTCGTCATCACAAGGCTCGTCGCCCCAGCTATCCTGCAGCGTTGCCCCCATATTTCCCAACCGACCTGTTGGCCTTGTGAACTGCAGTGACGACTATCGTTGCCGCTGGTCGCTCATGTGCATAGAGTAGTCCGACACTGTCGAGCCGGCCGTCCGGAGGTTGATGATGAATCGGCTGATGAGGATCGAGGGCTGCGCGGACAGTCCGAGTCCATGAGTACAAACAATGCGATTGGAACGTAGGGTATGCACCAGGGTTGCTATCAGCGCGCTTACTATTGACGTCACCTTAAGCCCGACGTCAGCTATGCGCTCACGTACCCATGTCGGGACGCACCGTATCGGAGATGTTGTATGTGAGAAGCTGGCTTATATTGAGAGCCAGTAGAGCTCTGTGTCCATTGTTGCCTGAGAGAAACTCCTTCTAATGCGGCTGTCCTGTTTAACTCACATGAAATACATGGTTCCTGCATAAGTAACTGGGCTTCAGCAACGGGAAATGTAAAGTTGCATGCAGGACCACTGACCATCGCGCAGCAAACATATCGTCAGCGATGCCCTCATCTTGAGGCGGCGGGCATTCCTCCAGTGTCTGAATGTCTTAATCCACGTTAGGACGAGCACGATAGCGTCAGCGATGATGAGGGAGCTGCGTGTGGTATACATGACTGTGAGCAAGTAGTATCAGTTCTTGCGATATGTTAGCAGTCTCTGACCGTGGAACATACATCTATATTGCAAGATTATTATTCCGAGTGTATCGCAAGAACTGTGCACCCACATGCTATTCACTTGTGCAGAGACTTTAGACTCCTCGATGCATATTGTTCCAACGAGCGGGTTCACACCAATGTCGTACTTTATCATTACCGCATTGTGCTGCATGAGAACGTAAACTAGAGTATATGCAAGGTTCAATCATAAGTGACACACACCATATTTGTCGCAAATGGCACCATGCTCAACGCGAACGTGATCAGCGACCAGACATAACTCCTATCCCAGATTGCGAACACACGCAAGGCGGAAAAGACTGGCACATGGAATTCAGCGGATGTATTTTGATTTTGACAGACTGCGTGATGCGTACGTGCGGCCTGGAGAAATTGAATGAGGGTGAGTACCCAGTCCAAGATGTCAAGCACCGTACAGCTATATATCAGACTTAAGTAAGCAGCCCGCTGCCCACAGATCTTACAAAAGCTGCACTTACTCCTGTGGTAAGCATTGTCACAGATCGCACATAGTCAGAAACACTCAGAGCTTACATTCGCAGTTTCCGGCGCAATGTTCATGACAGCCGCGAGGAGCATACACCATCGTACCGAGCCAAGGAGCACGGCACGTGCCGTGATAGGTCTCTTCCAAACAATCTCAATCTCGTTGCCGAAGGTGATCACAAATTCGTAGGCGACGAGGCCTGAGGGGCAAATATTGTGTGAGCGATGAAAGGGGAGATAAAGGATGTACTTGCATGCAGCAGCTACGCCGATATAGTCACCCGTGGCTCTAGGAGACGAAGCTGTGAGTATCAGGTGGCTAACTTGCAAGCAGAAGTACCACTTACTGTCTCAAGTAGGCTTGGACAAGTGCTTGGTCTGACTGTGCAGACATGCTAGTCAATGTGGGAAAGCAAGGGGGTGAGTTATGTTCAAGGTGAGCTACTGCTTGTGCACTCTTTATGAGAGACTTTGCTGGTGTTATATAAACAGCCATTATTGTAACATTTTCGAGCTGTCTTTCCAGATGTGTACCATTTCACCACTGAGCGGTGTTTTGCCGCGCGGCGTTGAAGATTGCGAAGTGCTTCTGGAGGCGTTGGCGCCATAACGCTGGTCCCGGTGTGACTCAACCAGTATAGAAGCGAGAAATTATGTAACACCTTGAGCTTTGAGCGATGAAAGGCCGCCATATGCTTGAGATAGTAGAAACAGCTTTCTGCGCTCCATCTAT